TTACAAGTTCAAAAGTTAAGAACATGTAGTTCTGAACTTAGAGTTTTAAGTTCGAAAGTTAAGGATATGTAGTCCTGAAGTCCTGAAGTTAAGGACATGTAGTCTTGAAGTTCTGAACTTAAAGTTCCAAGTTCAAAAGTTAACGGCATGTAGTCCTGAAGTCCTTAAAGTTCCAAGTTCAAAAGTTAACGGCATGTAGTCCTCAAGTCCTCAAGTTAAGTTCAAAAGTTAAGGACATGTAGTCCTAAAATCCTGAACTTAGAGTTACAAGTTCAAAAGTTAAGGACATGTAGTCCTAATGTCCTAAAGTTAAGTTTAAAAGTTAAGAACATGTAGTCCCGAAGTCCTCAACTTAGAATTACAAGTTCAAAAGTTAAGGACATGTAGCCTTGAAGTCCTCAACTTAGAGTTTCAAGTTCAAAGATATTTTCGTTCGGACAATTAAAATTTATTAAAGCAATGACTAAACATATTTCAAATAGTAAATACATTGTGTGATTACTGGGTAATCACCCAAAAGCATCCACATGCCTTCCCAAAGGTAAATACCAAATCCATCAAAGCCCATATAGAAACGGGGAGATTATCGGCGACGGAGATTGATCGGAACCTGGGAAATTGGCAAAAATGCCGAAGAAAATGGGAGTGAACAGCAAAGCCGAAGAAGCTAGGTCTCGGAAGAGCGCCGCGGAATCGGAACGCAAAGAGCGTGAATCTCGAGAGAAAGAAGAACAGTACTGGCGCGAAGCCGAGGGAGCTAAGTCACGCGCCGCGAAGAAACGCGAAGAAGAAGCTGAGAAGCGCGCCGAGGCAGCTGCCAAAAAAGCCGAGGTGCGTCGGCTTGCCGAGCTGGAAGAGAAAGAGCTGGAGAAGTCAATGAAGAAGCCGGATAAGAAAGCTAATCGAGTCGCCATTCCGGTGCCAAAGGTAACGGAGGCGGAACTCCGGCGGAGAAAGGAGGAGGAGCAAGCGGCTTTAGCGAAGAAGGCGGAGGAGGACAAGCGGAAACAAAGCCGTATGGCTGGGGAGGACGAGTATGAAAAATTAGTACTTGTAACAAATACGAATCGGGATGATTCGATTGTAGAGGCTAGTACTGTGGAGGAAGCAATTGCTCATTTGGCTGTTACTGATAATTTGCCTGTTGATAAACATCCTGAGAAGAGACTCAAAGCATCCTTTAAGGTATTCGTCGATATTTGTTATTGATTGAATAATTGTGTTACTAGAGGCTGAAATATAGTGGTTTTCAAGTATGATTTTGATTCTTCATAATTGGAAGTTTTCTACTTAAAAATTCCGACTTGGTGGTAAAGTTTACACTTTGTATTAGGATATGCTAATAAATTAATAATGTAGCACATTTATGTTTTGTTTGGTGATCGTTGTGGTACTTCATATTTGTAGGCTTTTGAGGAAGTTGAGCTACGTAGGCTGAAGGAGGAGAAGCCAGGTTTGACGCACACTCAATACAAAGACTTGATTTGGAAGCTATGGAAGAAATCTCCGGATAATCCTCTGAACCAGGTGTTTTTTGTGTTTAAAGAATTCTGACTAATTGGATAAGATATGTGGTCTTTAATGTTGGAAAGTCTTTCTATTAATTCATTCTGTAAGTTTAGAATCCTGAATGATGTTTATGCTTCATGTCCTCTTGCTGACGTTACAGCTGAATTGTCTCTTCTTGATTTATTTTCGTCTTCCTGAGCCGAGGGTCTATCGGAAACAACTCTCTGCCCCATCGGGGTAGGGGTAAGGTCTGCATACACACTACCCTCCCCATACCCCACTTTGTGGGATTTTACTGGGTAGTTGTTGTTGTTGTCCTCCTGTGTATATCTTGTGAGTACATGAATAGTGCAGTATCTCTGTAAATGCACATTTCTTGATGAATTCTAGGATCCCATATTTTGCTTGCTACCTTAAACTATCAGGATTTTGGTATTAACAGTGAGGATAGAAAAATCGTGCTCTGTAGGATTTTAAAGAAATGTGCTTTATTGCTTTTCCTTAAGAAGCATCAATTTTCTTTTATGATGGTGGTGTTTGGACGCTTCTCAACTATTCCACCAGATACCACCAGGTATCTCCCACTAGGAAAGGTACCCAGTAACTCTGGCCGTCAAGCTTAGGCAGATAAGAAGAAATTACCTAGTGATTTTTGTCTCGGGAGTTTCCAAGGTTTGCACCCGCTTCGTTGACTGCCAGGGTACACTCGTACTCGTTCCTCTCATTTTCTTCGTTCGATGGAACTTTTGTTGTGCTTAGGCTCTCTATACTTCATATGTGCTTGCCTATCTTTCTTTATATTTGTCTTCATAAGTTGCGGGTATCTTCAGGCACATTATATATTCATGAAGAAGCCCCATTACAGCCCGTCATAGAGGTGTATTTATTAGTTGTTGCCTCGTCGACTATTTCTTTAGAAAGATGATTTTTGCTAGTAGGCTGGAAATGAACATAATTTTAAACCTCTTAAAGTTTCTGATGTAGAATTAAATGTTTGCTGGTGAATGAAAACGGATCTTGTAACTGATAAATTTCAGTTCGTATATGGAGAAGTGTGGTCTGTTACATAATTCTAATCTACACCTGAAATTTAGAAGAGTCATTTTAAGGATATGACATTTCTAGGGATAGGTCAATGTAAATTATTTTGATAATAATCAATCTAAAATTTTAATCTGTTTAAGGAAACAAGAAATCTTGACTTTAGGCATTTCACTGTCTTACTTTGTGAAGAGGTGGACACTAAATTAAGTTAACTTTCTTCTTTGTCAAGAGTGTTCCAATTTTTGGTCATTCTGTATTGACACTCAATTTTGTTTTTCTACCTTGTTAAAATGGTCGTCTTGGGGCTTAATAATGTAGTTGGAGGCCTGTAAGGTTCATCCGTTCAAGTAACTTCTCCGTGGTCCCTTTTTAACGTCAGTACGTCACTGTCCAATTTAGAGTATTATTTTTTGGGCTGGGAAAAATGGTAAATTATCGATCTTCAACTTATGTGAACAATTGTCAATGCAGCTTTGGTGCGTCCATTTGTTTTATTACCAACTTGTGTGTTTCCTTATTTTTTATTTTATGTTTTTCTGACAATTCTGCCTTCTTTTTTTCAACCTTTTAAAGGTTTAGTTCAACACCTCAATTTATCCTCACCATTGATTCAAATAGATCCTAGCCATTATGTTTTCCTACTTCCAGTTAATCATTGCACAAAATATTACACATAATAGGTTTTCAAATATGTTTAGGTTGATTGAAGTTATGAATTACATTATCTCGTTATGATACATAGCACTCATAATTTTTGAACCATAGATGACTAGGAGAAACGCTTATAATTGTTTCCTGCTTCTGGTTATTCACCTCATGAATGTGCGTGAATAAGATGTGGCAAGTCGCCATAGCAAGTGGTTAATCCCTTCCCTTTCAATTTTCTGTTAGTTGACTAACTGAATTAGTGGAAGGGGCTTAAAACAAACTTTAGACGTTCAAGCGGATAATGCTTCAGACAGTAGTCAGAGAAAGGGCTCATTGACTCAGAAGTTTGAGGCGCTATGGTGTCCCAGACCCTCTTTTAGTTCTTAAAAAAATGTGTTTGCATTCTTTGCTCATATGACCTGTTATTGAGCTGGATATGCTGTGGACAGACTTCTAAATCACGACTTTATGCTGTTTGAGTTTCTCCCTTTAAATCAGTTTGTCATTTTATGGACCTGGTATTAGATTCTTTCCATGGCGATGATAGGGGTATTGCTGTTTGCCAGACTCTTCGAAATGTCAACTATGGCACATTTTTGTTTATTCTGATTTGAGATATTTACTGTGACCTTTTAATTCTATATGCTTCAAACTTCAAAGTTCGCATTATTACTTTTTGTGCTTTCTAGAAAAGAATTTGTTGAGAAATTCAATGCGGCCTCTTTGTTATCAAGTAAAGAAGATTGACTTGCATTTCCATCTTCTTGGCATAAGCAAAATGCGAAGTTACCTCCTTTTAAAGATGGGAATATCTCTCTGCTGGTTGATTTCTTGCTGCATTGTTTGAGAACCTGTATGAAACTGTGTAGGGGTTATAGGATACTCAAGTAGAGCACCTTCTTTTAAAATGTTGGCTTCTTTTTTCCCTCAATTGGTTGCCTTCGTCTTTACAAGCGGCCTTGTAGTGGTTAGTATTATGTGTAAGGATACTGCAAGAGCTTTGCTAAATCTCAGTCAGTTTGTGGTCATGGTCGGAACTATAAGATTATGTCGTAGTGGGAGCTATGGATGCATTAATTGTTTAACGAGTTGGGTTTTTGTCAAGTTCAACTTCCTGTCTTTTCAACTTCATGCAGATAGCATCTTCTAGTTGTCGCCTATGGTAGCTAACTTCATCTTAATCTTGTATGCAGATTGCAGACAAACCATAAGTTCTTTTCCTGTATAGGGCTGGAGTGTCTGCTTGAGGAGTATGTTGGTGGTATGTCATCTGATCTGAGTTGATGTTGACAAAGTCTTCTGGCAATAGACATTTGCAATGCATGATTCTATTTGGTTGAAGTGATGACACTTCTTAATTAAATCACTTTAATAATGTCCATTCTCTCCTGTATTCGTATTAACTGTCTACACCACGGGCCCATGATTTACTTCTAAAAAATAAAGTAACTAGTTTATTCAACAAGCTTGTACCCTGTTGAGCTGCCAAAGGGATGAAAGGAGAAAAAGTTGTCAAATAAGTGTGTGTGTGTGTCCCATGGCTGTTAATGACAAAGTTTAACAAAGCAAAAAGGCCATATACAACTATTTAGTGTTTACATACTCTTGATTTATATGATGTTTATGTTACACTTGGACATCAGCAATGTTTACCACCAAAAGAGCAACAACAATGATATTGAATCAGTGGGTTAACAATTTATTCTCTATTCGGGAAAGTTTTGATTACACTGAATCAGTTAGTTAACTAATCTCTATTAGGAATCTGTCTTTTTTATTTCCTTCGACACTATTGTTCACTAAGGCCTAAAGAAGTTGGCGTCCAATCCATCAACCACCAGATTCCATAATGCACCAGCTCTTGTACAAAAACACCCAAGAAACATGTTGAAACGCCACATGAAGCTTTTCGTGTTGGTTTTCTGATTGAAATCCACATAAAACAAGGGTAAACCAGAGCCAATGACAACGTTATGCCACCCACAAAGGCAGCCAGACTTCCCAAAAATGGAAACGCCACCGATAATAAAATATGTCAATCCGCCGAAGAAGGGCTTGATGCATGATCTGAGCCACCTCGGGCACGCCTTGTGCTGCCTACTTACGTATATTCCTTCCAAGTTGTCGAAGACAATCATGGCATAGATTTGGAAGGTGCATAAGCGATGGATCACCACCATCATGTATATTATGCCTGCTACCCACTTTGATGTGCTCTCTTGGTGGTACTTGGCAATTGCAGCTATAATTCCATTCGCAGGCATCTGCAAACCATTATAATGTTAGTTCTATGAGAAAAATATTAGGGAAAAGTATAGCTGCTCTTAAAATAATAGTCTAATTTTTTCTTTTATTTTTTGGTATATGTATATACATACATACATTTCTTTATGTTATATACAAAACAATATATAAATTTTATACACTTTTGCAGCTAACGGATGTAAATAGTTTTAGCCACGGGATAAAAGTGATCTTTGCCCAAAATTCTCGTTGATTTACCATAGCCCAACCCATCCCTATCATCAGCGGCGAATATAGGATTTGATGAGCATGGGTGCACCACTAAAAAAAGTAGAAAAAAAATATATTAAATGGGAATTAATCCATGTTGCTCACAGTAAATAACCCATTATTCAACCAAGTGTACCCTTCAACCTTTTTGGAATATGGGTGCCAACAGATAATATTAGACAAATTCTAAAAAATATGTACATAAAATATCTAATTTTGTGATGAGATCATGGGTTCACGTGCCTCTTAATTGGGGCTATAAATCCGCCCTTACCTATCATCCAGTGCCTTCAAGGTGCCTGCTTAGAACTTACTGACTCTAAATCTTGGATTCACGTATGTTCATAACTTCATATCAATGTTTTATTTTTATTTTCTTGCTCAAAATCGGAAAATTCAAAAAGAAGATAGTCCTAAAATGGTTTACCAGATTCCCATAAGCCCAATATCCTCCAACAGCCAAGGGAAATAGACACATAGCAATTAAAGAGTATGAAGATATAACTCCTCTCCACATACTAGTGCTTGTGAGATTGTGTACGATCAAAATTGTATGCCTCCAATTTATTGGCTTGTGGGTTCATTCTAGGCCCAAGTCCGGGTGAGGTCGAGTTTGAAACCGGATGACCAAACTTGAGCTTGAAGACAAATTGCGGTGCCCGGAGATAGGAGTTCGGGGAATACCGGGGCCAAGTATGCTCGATCCCGAAATAGTACCGTTATGGATTTGTATCAGAATGAGCTAGGTTCCTGCCACGTCCCCAAAGTCATGGCACAAATCCCAGAATAGGGTCGTACGATTCCGTACTAGACGGTTAGACAGTTGTACCAAGAATATTCCTTATTTAGGGTTCCCCTATTATATAAAGAGCACCCCAATCATTTGTAACATTATCTAATTATTGAGAAAAGAATATACTCTCTACCTTTTTGCCTATTGTTCATCAACATTGTCCTTTAGCTCTACTGTTCATCCTTTACTTTCCTTATTTAATTGTTTCTATTGCTCTAAGCCTACCTCGAGATCACTAAGCTCGAGGCTACTGTTGTTGAGTAACTCTGGTTTGATTACTCTTCTCTTTCATTTCTACTTCATATTTCTTGATTATTAATTGGTATTGAACTAAATCACATATCTTTAAAATCATAAATCAAATTTAATTGTTACTCGCATTTTCGAGGTAAACAGTTGGTGCCCACCGTGAGGCTAAAGATAATAGTGATTATTTCTTTACTGATTTTCATTACACACGTTTTTACGCTTGTTCTTGTCAAGATTTTTGATTCTCAGGCTGAAACATGTCTAGCACACAAAACGCACATGTTCATGACAATGAAGGTCTTGGAGAAAACAATAGTATAGAGGTCGATGTACCACCAATAAACCCTGAGAAAGTGCCAAATATGGAGGCAGTCGATATCAGTTCGCATAATGCTCTAAATGCGGATTCAGGCACAGACCCCGTAGGGAATGAACGCAGGGAAGCCCGATCTGGTGGCCAAGGAGCACGAGGAATGAGAGATGGGGGAATCAGCCTCCAAGTGATATTCGAGATGCTGCAAGCTCAGGAAATCGCCATCGCTCAACTTCAAAGTCAGAATAAGACTCCGAGTGTAACTGAACATGAAAATGCTCGACATATTGAACCGACACTAGAGAGGTCAAACCGAAATAATTCGGGGACTGACCCCACCATTATGAGGATGCTGGAAGAGCTCGCCAAGAGGATCGAATCTATAGAAAAGAAGATTGAAGAAAATGACAAAAAAATGGAGACTTACAACTCTTGTGTTGATCAAATACCGGGGATACCTCCGGTCTTGAAAGGTTTAGATGCTAAGAAGTTCATACAAAAACCATTCCCCCCGAGTGTGGCTTCGATGCCCATGCCCAAGAAGTTTCGTATGCCCAATATACCCAAATATAACAGGACAACCGACCCTAACAAACATATTACTTCATATACTTGTGGGATCAAAGGAAATGACTTGAATGACGATGATATCGAGTCAGTGTTATTGAAAATGTTTAGGGAAACGCTATCAAAAGGAGCTATGATTTGGTATCACAACTTAGCCTCCAACTCTATTGACTCGTTTGCTACGTTAGCAGATGCCTTCGTGAAAGCACACGTTGGGGCCATAAAGGTGGCAACGAGAAAATAAGACGTCTTTAAGATAAAATAAAGGAACGACGAGATGTTAAGAGAGTTTGTTTCTGGTTTCAGATGGAAAAAACAAAATTACCACCGGTCTCCGATGACTAGGCAGTACAGGCCTTTATGCAGGGTCTAAATGAAAGGAGCTCGATCGCGTCTCGACAGTTGAAATAGAACTTGATCGAATATCCAGCCGTGACATGGTCGGATGTGCACAATCGTTACCAGTCAAAAATCAGGGTCAAAGACGACCAGTTGGGAGCCCGCTCGGGCTTAGTTCATCCTAAAAAATTTGCAGCCAAACCCCGAGGGACACAGATCGAGAATCAAGATTTAACAAAGAATGATATCAGCCATATGCCGATCGAAGGAACTACGGCCCGAGCCGTAATGCTCCTCGGAGTGATCAAAGAAATGATCGAGGTCAAAGTTCTCGAGGACTCATGAGTTAATGGGGGTTCGATAAGCATACCGACCCCACCGAGGCCCCTCGATTATCAGAGTACAACTTCAGCATAGATACATCAGGAATTGTCTCAGCTATTGGGAAAATCAAAGACACCAAGTGGCCCAGACCAATGCGGACCGATCCTTCTCAAAGGAACCCGAACTTGATGGGTAAGTATCATGGCACACATAGTCATAGAACAGAAGATTGCAGGCAGCTAAGGGAAGAAATGGCTCGATTGTTCAACGAGGTCCACCTTCGAGAATTTCTAAGTGATTGAGCTAAGAATCACTTCAGGGAAAGGGATGCGAGGAAAACTGAGCAAGAAGAACCACACCATGTAATTCACATGATCATTGGTGGAGTCGATGTCCCTCAATGACCTATGTTCAAGCGCACCAAAGTATCAATCACCAGAGAAAAATGGACTCGGAGCTATGTGCCCGAGGATGTCTTATCATTCTATGACGAGGAAGTAGAAGGCATATCTCAACCTCACAATGACGCTCTGGTAATCTCTACCTTTTTGAATAAAATTCAAGTTAAATGTGTTTTAGTGGATCCAGGTAGCTCAACAAACATAATCAGATCGAGAGTTGCGGAATAACTCGGCCTACAAGGTCAGATTGTACATGCATCCCGGGTTCTAAATGGCTTCAATATGGCAAGCGAAACAACAAAGGGAGAAATTATCTTGCTAGTAAACATAGCCGGGACCATATAAGATACGAAGTTCCATGTCATCGAGGGTGACATGAGATATAACACACTCCTCGGGAGACCGTGGATACACAACATGAGGGTAGTGCCTTTAACTCTTTACTAGATGATGAAGTTCCCAACAGAGGAAGGAGTAAAAACAGTCTATGGGGAGCAACATGCTGCAAAGGAGATGTTTGCAATCGAGGAAGTGGTGCCGACTTCAGAGCCTTCGACCTCGGAGAAATCAAGCATCGGAGGTAAACAAGCGGCCAAATAGCAATCACCGCCTCCAACCCCGATGGAATTGGAACAATAGGTAATCGAAGACGAAGATGAGGATTTCCTTACTACCTGAACCTTCATCATTCCCGAAGAATCTATTGCAACCAAATCAACTATCGAGGAGTTGGAGCAGGTCATTTTAATCGAATATATGCCCGAGAAAAAGGTATATCTAGGAACGGGATTGACCCCCGAACTCTGGAAAAAACTCATTCAATTTCTTATTGATAATATGGATTGCTTTGCTTGGTTCCATTCAGATATGATAGGGATTCCACCGGAAATCACCATAAATCGGTTAAGCATTGATCCCAAGTTCAAACCGGTAAAGCAAAAAAGGAGGCCTCAGTTCGAGGTAAAGCATGGTTTCATAAAGGACGAGGTAACCAAACTTCTTAAAATAGGATCTATACAAGAGGTAATGTACCCCGAGTGGTTAGCCAATGTAGTTGTAGTTCCTAAAAAAGGAAACAAACTTAGAACGTGTGTAGACTATAAGGACTTGAACAAAGCATGTCCAAAAGATTTTTTTCCACTGCCCAACATCGATCGTATGATCGATGCCACGGCCGGCCACGAGATCCTAACTTTTCTAGACGCCTACTCGGGGTACAATTAGATTCAGATGAACCTGGGTGACCAGGAAAAGACTTCATTTATTACTAAATTTGGGACTTATTGTTACATGTAATGTCCTTCAGACCAAAAAATACAGGAGCCACATGCCAACGCCTAGTTAACAAAATGTTCGAAGAACAATTAGGCAAAACAATAGAAGTTTATATTGATGATAAGTTGGTTAAGTCCCTGTGCGCAGAGAACCATTTAGTTCATTTGCAGGTTTGCAATTTTAAGGAAATAAGTTTAACCCGGAGTAATGTGCCTTCGGAGTTGACTCAGGTAAGTTCCTAGGCTTCATGGTGTCAAATCGGGGTATCAAAATCTATCCCAATAAGATCAAGGATATCGAGGATATCACGATCGTGGATAGTGTGAAGGGCGTGCAAAACTTACAGGACGAATATCTGCCTTAGGTCGATTCATTTGGAGGTCGTCGGATCGGAGTCACCGATTCTTTTCCTTGCTCAAAAAGAAAAAGGATTTCACGTGGACCCCAGAATGTCAGCAAGCCTTAGAAGAATTAAAGTGATATCTGTCGAGCCCGCATTTGCTTCACACCCCGAAGGTAGATGAAAAACTTTATCTATACTTAGCAGTGTCCGAGATAACGGTAAGTGGGGTACTAGTTCGAGAAGAGCAAGGTATGCAATTTTTTGTTTATTACGTAAGCCGTGTAAGCACGTAATTTTTGACCCGCGCAAATTTTAAAGTTAGTTTTAGTATTTTAATATTTTTAAAATATTTACTTGAATTTATTTTAGTATAATTTTAATCTTTTACTTTTAGTCCTAAGACATAAAAAAATAGTTTTATTTATCGTGTTTATCANCTTTTAGTCCTAAGACATAAAAAAAATAGTTTTATTTATCGTGTTTATCGCTTTTCTATATTTTTATCTTTAGTTTAAGATCAATTCGTATATTTTTATTCATGGTATCTTAATTTTATCATGACTTTAGCCTATTTTCTTTACTTTTTGCTTTATTGTTATAACATTTAAAAATACAAAAAAAAGTAGTTTCATTTTAAAATTTTGTTTATATACTTAACTAAGTTTAATTAATATTTTGGTAAGATTTTTGAGTTTGTCTTTGTCCAACAAGAAATTTATAGGCCCAAAGGTGTGAGTCCATTTTCTTTTAACTTAAACCCAATTATTCTTAGCCCATTCTTCCCAACCCATTAGCCCATTTATGTGCAAGATTTAATCCTGACCATCTATTTCCTTCTAATCCAATGGCCATCATCCCTTCTCACCTTCATATAAAATACCCAATTATAGAAACCCTAAAAAAAGGTTTTCAATTCCTAGTCTTGAAAAAACAAAAAAGAGAGCAGCCGCCGCCATCCGAGCACCACCCCGCCCAGCAGCACTCTCTTCACCAACGCCTCTAGCCGCTGAAAATTTTCCAAGAACAGAACAACCGCCCCTGCCAAATTCCATCAGCGCCGCACCTATCGCTGTTCATCTTCGCCTAACAAACTCACAAAGGTGAAACCTTAATAAAATATTCAGATGCAAGTTACATGTACACAACCCCATTTGCACATGGTCTAAGAATATAATGAGCAACCAAAGTTAGCACCAAGTCTTGATTCTGTTGCGTCTCGGTTTTCTTCCTTGTGAATTCAGCAAATTTATTTTCATTCGCCGTGGTCGAGATGCAGTCGAGATCGAGGTTGTTCGTTGAGGTTCCAATCACGGTCTAAAATTAGATCCGGATTTCTGTTTGGCGAAAACTCTTCAAGGTTTATTTCTTACTTTCTTTCTTTTATTTTTTAATATATTTTGAGTGACTTCATGATTTATTTAAATGAGTTGATGATTTCTTTTAACTTTTGTTTGCTTGAGATCAATCGAAATGAATGTTAAATGAGTTATTTGCAGTTTGTACTCAACTCTTGACACTCTTCTGTTATAGTTCAAGTCACATGAGTAGATAGTAAAAATTAGGAAATTAAGAATTAAAAAAGAAAGTAAGGTTTGATAAACTATTTTGGACTACTAAACTATATGGATCGTGGGTTTGTAGGTAAAAATTGAAAGTATATTAGGCTAAAATAATATTGAGTTCAATGATAATTTCAGTTGTATTTTTTGTTTGGTATGTGACATTTTGATTGACATATGGTTTAGATCTTGTTTGTTGATAGGGTTTTTAAGACGCTAGGAGTATGTTTAGGCCGACCACTGGGGTAGGCAATATTAGGACGTTTCATTAGTTTTGAGGCGAGAGGTCGTTCCCTTAGTTAAATTTATCCGGGGAATGCCCCGAAGGATTTGTATATATCTTTATCCGGGGAATACCCCAAAGTATTCTATAAATGGAGGCCAAAAGTAGAAACTTGTAGTATTTTAACTTTATTTTCATTTTTCTTTTTCTTTATTTAGGTGGGGACGACCTCGAACCTCTTGTGTGTTTATTTTCCTTTTCTGTGTTATTACCTCAATTGAACAATTTAAAAGCCGACTTGATCACGCACTCAACCGTACTAGTTACGGGACTTGGGGAGTGCCTAACACCTTCTCCCCGAGTCAAATGACCCCCCTTACCCGAATCTCTGGTGCAGACTTAGTTTGGAATCCAAAGTGTTTTAAAGGAAAAATCATTTTTACAAAAAACGGTGACCTGACACACCGAAACCAATGTCAGGTGGCGACTCTGAGTTATTTTCTTTTGAACATTATCTTTTGTCACTTTCAAAATTGAAAAACTCTTTAAGCTTTACTAAATCTTTTTATTATTTTAAGAGGGTTAGTGAAGTTTGGTTAAAAAGGGGTGTGACATCTCTGGCGACTCTGCAGGTTCGAGCTGGTATTTGATCTTGTTGGCTTTTAGGATATTCAGTTGAGGTGTTTATTTTCTTTATTTTCTTTGTTTATTAGCTTTGTTTGTCTTATTTCCTTGTTTTGTTGGTTATTTGTTTATCGCTTTTCTTAATATGTTACTGTTTTATAAACTGTCATCATGTGCATAACCATGGGTCTTCTTTCTGCAACAAGTCTCGGAGTACGCGTCGCATGCACGAACTCTTTGTTGAGTCACCCTTAATTTAGGAGGGGGGCCGTCGGACGTAGGGAGTGGGTGGAAAGCTTGAGCAGCCACCATCGACCATACGCTCCCCCGAATTGCCTTGTTAGTGAACCCCAAACTTAGGTAAGCCTTTAGGTCATTTTTATTTGCATCATGTCATTTAGACCTAGTAGGGCTCGGTCCCAAGTACCGTGTCCCTTTGTAGGAAGCCTGTCCAAATTTTGTCAAAATGGGCTCGTGGCCCAAAATGACAGTTAATCATCCTATGTGCTAAATGTTGCATCTGTGAGGGTAAAAGGGTCATTTGGAGGACCGATGTCTTGGAAAGAAGGGTGAAAAGTGAAGCTAGTAGGGCCCACTCACATTTTTCTTTCATAGTTTTCCAAAAATAAAAAAAAATTGAAAATAGAAAATCCAAAAAGATTTTACACTTTTTCATTACTTTCCAAAAAATTCAAAAAAAAAAAAGAGAAAAAGAAAATCCAAAAAGATTTACATTTTCCATCATTTCTCAAAAAGACAAAAAAGTATAGTTTTCCAAATTAGTTGCATTTTTTAAAAAGGCTTTTTCCCATGTCCAATCTTCCCGAACTACGCATACCTGATTCTCGTCTCTCGAGGCGGGATACGTAGGCAGCCCATATAGGGTCCGGTCTTCCTAGTTAGTCTTAGGTTCTTGGCTTCGCGGGGTCTTAGCCAAATCTTGCATGTCTAGCCACTTTTGGCCACATCGGCCATTGTTGCAAAATGGGGTCATTTTTGCAAAAGTGGTTCGATTACCCCATGTCCTAGGGTCTTGAGTTTATAACTCGGTGTCCATCCATGTCGTGTTTGCGTCCCTAGCCACATTTGGTCACATCGGCCATTTTTACAAAAAAAAGGGGTCCATTTCCGCAGGGCAATTTTTAAGACCATGATTGTCGGGATATTAGAGTCATGTAAGCTTTAAATGGAGTATTTCTCATGCATTAGGGGTCAACTTTCTCAAGTTTGCGCAAATAGCCACTTTCAGCCACTTAGGCCATTTTGCAAATATAGCCAAGTTGTGTCCTGCATTTGTCCACTAGGAAATGTGGTTGGGTCACGTAGTGTCCCGAGTCGCTAACCATGTTTGCTTCATTCAGGTATGGACCCGCTGATTCGATCCAAAGTGCTGATGGTAGTAAAGATTCCTAGGAAGTTGATCAAGTGGTGGAAAATGTTTTCATCGTTAGAGCAGCATGAGTTAATGCAGAAATTGGGCACCCTAACTTCCCTTCTTGATATCACACCCCGCCCAGACTTAGTGGAGGCGATGCTGACTTATTGGGATCCGCAAAATTTGATTTTCAGATTTGGAGAGTGTGAGATGACTCCTACCTTGGTGGAAATGTCTGGTCTCACTCGTTTAAGCTATATAGGCAAGGACATGATACTTCCCCGAGACCACTCTAGGACAAGATTCCTCAGCGACCTGGGTCTGAAAGATAATAAACATTTAAAATGTCTCGAGCAGTCCTGGATATCCTTGGATTATTTGTTTGCTAGATTTGGACCACAAGATAGTTTTGATGTCTTTTGGGATGAGTTCTGCACAACCAAGGCAAAGTGGCAAAGACGTCGCCTCGAAGCTTTCAGCCTTGCTTTGTTGGGATTATTGGTTTTTCCATTAGATAAGAGGCACATTAGTACCCGTCTGCAGTCAGTGGTAATGGCACTATTTCATGAGAAGCAACGCAAAACCGTTACCGTTGTGCCGATGATCTTAGCAGAGTTGTACCGAGCCCTGAGTGAGGTTAGGGGAGGTGTCAGATATTTTGAGGGAAGTAACCTTTTGCTACAGCTGTGGATGATGGAGCATTTGCACACTACTTCCTTACTTTGTCCCATCGACCGTGCCTTGAGGGATCGGGTGGTATGCATCGAACGTAGGATGAAATCTCCTAAGTTTACGTACCCAGTAGGCGTCACAACTTGGATTGAGTTCCTCGGTTTGAGGACAAAGGGGAATGTTTTGTGGGCTTACCTTTGGCTACCTTTGGATGATATTTTGGTAAGGTGCCTCATGTAGCCTTTCCTGATGCTGATAGGACTCAAGTGTGTCAGACCGTACACTCCCGTTAGGGTAATGCAGCAATTGGGCAGAAGACAAGAGGAGTTTCCAACTTTGAATCTTCGGAGGAACATCATAAATTTTAGCAAAAAAGCGGCTGATAAAATCAAGTATGTGCAATACTGGAACAATGCAAAGAGGATGAAGAAAACTACATTAGTAGAGGACGTCGGCAGGCCCGAGTGTACTCATGAGTACTTGATTTGGTTACAGTCCGTCCAACTAGGGGTCAGCACCCCATTGCCAGCCCAACTCAAGGGTCGGGCAGTTCAGACAGATGATTTTGGGGGGGCATCGGACCAAGATACCTGGGATAATCTTGAGTTGATAAAGTCTCAGTTAGCGGGATTGGCAGCAAACGTGGAGCAGCATAGCCAGTATTTGTTCAGGGTCGGCCTTCAGGATGCCGGGGCACACGCCAGGGCTTTTATTCCCAGCGTTGGTGTTTCTATACGAGGCATGTTACAGAGTTTGAGCATGAAAGACAACCTAGGACCATCCCGGTCAGGACAGTCGCATTCAGGAGCAGCTTGAGGAGTCATTCTATTTAGGTGTTTTGAGATTGTCGTATGTTGTCTTTTACTTTCGTGTCTTGTCTAGAAGTACTGAGTCCTTTAGGTAGTGTTAGAGTCTGTCGTAGTGTAGTTGAGTCTGTCATGTCTTGCATTATCGTATTTCCCTTTGTATTTTAATATTGAAAAGTTTTAAATGAAAAATCCTAAAAAGATTTTGTTTTCAGTTTATTTTCCACCATTTCTCCAGAACTACGCTTGGTCTGATTCATGAGGGACATGATACGTAGGCAACCTACATCGGGTTCGATCAAATCATTTTGGTTCAAAATAAAAAGAGAAAGAAAAAGAAAAGAGTGATAAAAGGTATTGGAAAAGAAAGAGAAGAAATGATTAAAATAAGCAAATTGAGATGATGCCATATGACCCTGTGACCCTCAAAGCCATTTTAGAACCGTTAATTATTGCTAGGTGCATTGCATATAAGGTGATATTATTATTTGATAAATTCTCTAACGCTAACATGGTGGTTTTGTGTTGTTGTCCGCTGTTATCTCTATTAAGTTTCAGGAAGGTGGTTAGTTTGTTGGCATCCTGGCAAGTCATCCATACAACACCCGATCAAAGCATCAAACAGTTATGGCTAGCAGGGAAACAGACACTGGAGTTGTAGACCCACCAAGGGAGATTGTTGAGTCGGAATCAGAACTGCAAAAGGAGGTCCGGAGGTTGAAGCATCAGATGACAGAATTGTATCAAGCCTGGATTAAGGGACATCCTCCACCCTCGTTCCCTATCAACTACACAGAAAACCCTGCTTCCATTCCACCACTCTCTCAATCCCAGATGCCCAATACCATTGATCTTTCCCCGCAACACGCACCTGGCTTTACCCCTTACCACAACTACCCCGACACTTCAGCCCAAACTGTTCATGCTCCGCCAACCAAAACAACCTCATACCCTGCTCCGACATTTACTCCTATTTTTGTACCCCCTCCACAAGCTACCCTCCACCGATCCTCTAGTGAGCCTGCATTCCCCGCTAAAGATGCCCACTACTATGCACCATAGCCCACCTTCGAAATCCCAGATCCTTACTCTTACACTCCCTAATTTGAGCCTCATGTTGAAACTGACAAACCACCCAAGAACGCAGAGCAAGAAGAGATGTTTAGGAAGGTACAGAGTCTGGAGAAATCATTGAGAATTATGCAAGGGCTGGGAAACCAAGTGAGTGTGGCCTATAAGGATTTGTGTTTGTTCCCCGATGTCCAATTGCTTG